AAATGAGATGATATATATATAGGACTTTGTCCTATTCACTTAAAGAAAATAAAAACACTTTAAAATGATTTTCTTCTTATAAGTGTAAAAAAATAAAGTCAAAGACAAAGAAAAAACAATAGAAAAGTTTTTTTTCACCAGGGTGACCCCTACACTGCTCTGACTCCTTAAAAAGGTCAGATGCTCGAACAAAGGCAGGAAAAAAGTTGTCTTTTTCTCCTTGCCGATCATAAAACACAAGGCATTCAATCGCTCTTCTCCTATTCTTTCTCTGTTAGCCTGACCTCTGAGTTCTTGAGAAAACACTTTCTACTGCAAGCGCCATTGTTTGAGAAAAAAGGTGGGAAAATTTCTCTATAAATGTAGACCTCAGCGGATCAGTGTCCATTTTCAATCCTCTCGCCTTGCTAGAGCCTTACAGCCTTGTTCTTGATTTTTTTTGCTTTAGCATCCTTGTAAACAGAACTACTTCATCAATAAACAAAGGAGAAAACTATGGCCGGTAAGTTTAATTGCTAATTTAACAAGGAAACATTTTTTATTCATATTTCTTTTATTTGCTTCTAAAAAAATGCATTACTTTTTTTTCTCAGCGCAGAAGTTCACCACCACCGCGCAGGTTCATGCCATTTCTGATGATGATGATCGAGAACTTTCCTGTTTTGATCTCGATCAGATAATGAGTAAGTCTCTTTTTTTATTGACACCATGTGTTTTTTGTCTATCAGAATCATTATCTAAAAATTTGTATTTTTTTTCTGTATCAGACAGTGGACCCAAAGAAACTAAAGTGGGCTTTTATAAAAAAAAGAGGGTTCACATCGTGAATCTGTCAGCTCACCGCAACTCAATCACAATCACCACCATCTTCAAGACCCCAGATCAGGTGCGGCAGCGGCAGGTGCGTCTGGTAGCAGTTCTGGTCCCGCTCCCAGGTCTGCTTCTCCTGCTTCTGGGCGCCGTCCTCCGTCTCAACCATCTCAGCCCCAGCCAGCCATTGTCTCTTCCGGGGGTAATCACGAAAATCAGGACGTCCCTGCTCCTACGGCCGAAAAGCAGAAAAGACCTGACGAGGTGAAAAATGAAGCGGACGTCCAGCTTCTAATGGTTAGCGAAATAATGATTCGACCATTTTTGTTTACATCCATGACGTATTTCCTGTTTTAACAATTTCCGGTTTCCGTTTTAAATTATTTTTATTATATATTTTAATTTTAGATCAAGCTGCGCCGTGTGGTCAAAGCCGACACGTGTCTGTCAGTGAAAGTAAGTGATTTAATGAAAATATTCTGGTTTGTAAATTAATAAGACTGAAGAAATTTAGTTATTTTGGCTTAGTACTGATTACATACAACACCAGAGTATTAGGGTTTCCTATTTTATAATACCTTTATAATGTTTGTTATATTTAATGTGTAACCATTAGATTGGGGGTTGTTTGTATGAAAGCCTGTGATTCAGCTGTAGGCCAGCAGGGGGCGAACTTAGGCATTGAAGATCCTGTATATATATATTGGTCCATTTCCTGTTTTACTCCCAGTGTGTGTGGTTTGACTTGCCAGCCAGTGGCAAAATTAATCCCCCACTCCAGAATTCTGGTGTTGTATGTCATTATTTAACATTGGTGTTTTTATCTGACTTCAGCCGTTATTGAACACTTATTTTCTTACAAGACAAAAGTTATTATTAGAAAAAAAAACATGAAGCCCCTCCTTCCTCCCTCCCTCCCTCTCTCTCTCTCTCTCTCTCTCTCTCTCTCTCTCTCTCTCTCTCTCTCTCTCTCTCTCTCTCTCT